GATAGTTACTTATTTAGGGCACAGCTACACTAGAGAGTTTACAGTGGCACAGCTGCACTGATGCAACTTCGCCGCTGTGAGCTCTCTAATGTAGCCACTCTAAGCCGACAGAAGAGAGCTCTCCAGTCAGCTTACCTATTCCAGCTGGGGCTGGCCTTACCATGAGGCGAACTGAGGCGGCCGCCTCAGGTGCCAGACTGAGGGTGGGGGGTGGGGCGCCACTAGGACCCAGAGTGTAGAAAATTGTGTCTGCTGCTGGTGCATATGTATTCTCTCTGCTCTAGATGCACGGAGATGGTGGAGTACTGGAGGAAGGAGAGCACAAGAGAGCTAACAGGCAGGCAGGAGAAAAGCAGGAGCTGCAGGGAGAGAGAGGAGGAGGAGCCTCTTATGTATCTCTCTAGCACCCCCAGGAGCCTGGACTGATTAACACCAGCTTCTCAGGGAGCTTCCTGTTTCCTGCTGCTTTCCTGAACCCACTTGAGGAGAGCAGGCAGTCAACTGAAGTAGTAGGAGCCAGTTAGGCCCTTAAGATGCTGGTATCTTCCCTCACTCACGCCCTGCTACCAGCCTACTTATTTGTCCCCTTCAGCTGAGTGTTGAGAGCCACTATAGCTGGCACAGAACAGCAGTCACAAGTGAAAGAAGAAAACACCCCTCTGGGGCAGCATTCAGAAAAAGAAAGAAAGCAAAGGAAGCTGTTTTCTCTAAGCAGGAAGAAGCTCTCCTGAGATACATAGACACAAATGTTCACAGGGAGCCTTCCGGCCCCAGCTGGGATGTGAGTGGTGAGGAGATGCCTGATCTTCCAGTTAGTCAGAGTGCAGGTGACCTGGCAGCTACTGCAGCATCCATATCTCCATCTCAAATGGATGTAACCATGCACATTCCTGAAGAAAAGCGTAGATTAGAGAAGAGTGTGGTGGAGGCGCAAGAAACAGCTGCTGCTGAGTTTAGTTCCTTAAGTCTAGATGATTCAGGACTGTGGACCCACTTGAACAGTAGCCTGAGGGACTTCCTTGTATAGCATGGGCCACAGCAAGTGAAAAACTTAATGTTCCCCAAAGACAATGAAAATAGAAGTTTCCATCCGACACATTACTGGTGTGAAATCCCCAATGGTGACAAAGTGGAGAGGCTATGGCTTATGTACTCATGTTTGCTTATGTTGCAAACTCTTCCAGTCTAATGTTCCGGCCACATTGGGTTCTACAGGAGCAAAGGACTGGAAGAATCTGGCTAGAAAACTGGCATGCCATGAGAAGGCAGCAAATCACCAGAGAGCATTCCATAGGTGGAAAGAGCTTGAGATGAGGCTAAGATGATCAGCATCAAGGGAAGATTGCATTAGAGTCTCTTTACTGGCAAAGTGTTCTGAAAAGGCTCATTGCCATTGTGAGAATGCTTGCTACCCAAAACCTAGCACTGTGTGGCACTTCAGATCAGCTATATGTGCCAAACAATGGAAAAGTCCTTAAAATTGTGGAGCTGATGGCTCAGTTTGATGCTGTACTCGAGGAGCATCTAAGAAGAGTCACCACCCAAGAAATGTACACACACAACTACCTTGGAAAAACAATTCAAAATGAGATCATACAGTTACTGGCAACAAAAGTCAAACAGAAGATGTGGCAGATCTGAAGTCAGCAAGATATTGCTCTGTTATTCTGGACTGCACACCTGACATCAGCCATAAGGAACAAATGACTTTATTGGTGCGTTTTGTAACAACAACAGAACCTAGTGAAAATGTCCCTGCAATGGTGACTATCAGAGAGCATTTTCTAGAATTTATTGACACTGATGATACTACAGGAGCTGGTGTGACAAATGTGCTTCTTAAAAAGCTGGAAGATATGGGAATTGCGATAGCTGACATGAGAGGTCAGGGCTATGATAATGGTGCCAACATGAGAGGAAAGAACAGAGGAGTGCAGACACGGATCCGAGAGTTAAACCATGGAACTTTTTTTGTCCCATGCAGTTCTCATTCATTGAACTTGGTGCTCAGTAATGAAGCATCAGCTTCCAGTGAGGCTGCTGAATTTCTTAATGTAATTCAAAGCATCTATGTATTTTTCTCTGCATCAACTCATTGATGGCAAATTTTGAAGCAACATCCTCTCTGACACTGAAGCCACTGAGTGCCACATGATGGGAAAGTCGAGTGAAGGCGATAAAGCCTATCAAACACCAAACTGGGAAGATAGATGATGCCATAGTTGCCATTATGGAGGATAATGCTATGACAGGAACTGTTCATGGGAGAACAGTGGCAGAGGAAATGGAATCACCAGAAACATACATAACTTCAAATTTCTGTGTGGCTTAGTGTTGTGGCATGACATACTGTTGGAAATAAATTTTGTAAGCAAGAGACTCCAAGGTGTTGTCCTTGATATATCTGGAGCAATGGAACAACTGGATAAAGCAAAGTCATACCTACAGTCTGACCGGTCAGATAATGGATTTCAAAATGTTCTGTAGAGTGCACAGAAGTTGGCAGAGGAACTTCACACTGAAGCTATTTTCCCACCCATTCAAGAATACAAGAGTCACCGAAGAAGAAGACATTTTGATTACGAGGCACGGGATATAATCCCATAAGAGACCCTAAACAACAATTCAAAGTTGAATTCTTTAAGCAGGTGCTAGATTGTGCAATACAGTCAGTTGAAGAATGTTTCATGCAGCTCAAGGAACACAGCAATATATTTGGGATGTTGTATGATATTTCAAAACTCCTCACTATACCTGAAGAAGACCTACACCAGCAATGCAGAGCACTAGAGACAGTGTTGCTACATGATGACAATGCACGATATTGATACAAATGATTTAGGTAATGAACTGAAAGCCCTTTCAAGATACATTTCCGCAGGATCAACTCCAAAGGCTGTTCTGGAATATATGTGCACAAATAAGATGATCACCCTCTTTCTAAATGCTTTTGTTGCTCTGCGCATACTTCTAACACTTCCTGTAACAGTTGTCAGTGGAGAACGCAGCTTCTCCAAACTGAAGTTAATAAAAACACATCTATGCTCCACAATGACACAGGAGAGGCTGGTGGGCCTTGCAACCATCTCAATAGAGCATGAGCTGGCCCAGATTGTGAACCTTCAGGAAGCAGTTCAAATCTTTCAACCAAAAAGGCATGGAAAGCACCACTTCAATTATTCAAACAGATAAAAATGCCAATGTTTGCTGTGCAGACAAAAAAAGTTACATTTGCTGTTCAGGCGTTTGAAGATAAGTGTTACTTAAAATTTTTGAACAAGGCATTTTAAGTTGTTAGTTCTCCTTTACTGGGATAGGTAGCAGAGCATTACCATGACAGGAGTAGAACAGGAAGAAGGCAGAGCTGAGACCTTTCAATGTTTTGGCCCAAGCGAGGGGGCATGGGGGCGTCATTTGAGCTCTCTGCCTTAGGTGCCAAAATGTTGTGGGCTGGCCCTGACTCCAGCCCCCGCGAGCGGCAGAAGCTATGATGGCAGGGGAAGCTCTCCCGCTGACTTAGTGATGTCCACAACAATGCTTATGTCCGTGTAACTTCCGTCACCCCAGGGGGTGATTTATATATCCCCCCTGAGTGACATAAGTTATGCCAAAATAAGATGTAATATAGCCGTAGCCTTAGTCTTCACTCATCACTTCTTTCACAGTATTTCCTTTTTTCCTTAAATTTTTTTTTTCTATAAGACTTTCCTGATACTGTGTCAAGCCCTTATGGGAGAATAAAGGGCCCCAGGTTTTAAACTCTGTCTTCCTTGTGAGACTGTATTGCCCCTTAACACGGGGCACACCAGATATTTGGTAAAAAGCATGTTCCTGAGAAATATGCCATTTGCAAGAGAATACGCAAGGCGAAAGAGGCTCACTTGAAGTTGTCTTTGCTGGAGAGATCCTGGAATGACCAGGACTGAAAATCCTGAATTGTCTTCTTCACAAAGTGCTCCTGTCCATTCTTCTGGTTGTAATTCTGAGGGTCACATCTCTAGGAAATCCTCCTCTGTGACTGATAAAACATCTGGGATCAGTGGAGGAAAGGAGCACTGCTCACCTGCAGAGGCATAGATCCAGGTCATCCTTGCCAGGTTCAAGCTCTAAAATGCATAAATCCTTTCATTCTGACATAAACAAGGGTGGCCCAAGAAGGGTCCCTCTACTCAGGCACCAGGTACCATGTCGCAGTACCAGCTCATTCAGAGCTTCCGATGAATGCATCCGATGAAGTGAGCTGTAGCTCACGAAAGCTTATGCTCAAATAAATTTGTTAGTCTCTAAGGTGCCACAAGTACTCCTTTTCTTTTTGTAAATACAGACTAACACGGCTGCGACTCTGACATCTGCTACTGACACTTTGGTACCAAAGTTCCAGGTATTGACTACTCCAGAACAGATGCCTCCTTCCCCTCCTTTTTGTCTGCCTTGCTGGCAGTAGCTGGGTACACCACTATCCCCTCCTGGCAACAAGTCCTGGTGGTGAGGGATCTGTGGGTTTGACTGCAGTCTCTTAGTTTGAATGATCATATGGGCATCTTTGGAAGTTATAGCAGAGTGCATCATACTTCAGAAGCTTTAGAATGGACTGTTTCACAAGGAGAGAGGAGGAATAGCTCTCTCATTCCCGTTAGGTTCTGGAGGTTCTGAACTAGTTGTCCCCACCCTCACCCCTATCCCTAGAAGACCCATTACCAGCAAGAAGTGCATTGAGAAGTGACCTCCCAAACCCAGAGAAAAGACTGCATTTGAGGGCTGCATTTATTTTTGTTTGCTCACACTAGTTGGCCCCTCCCTACTGATGACCATAATGTTTATATTTTGCAGTTTTTTGTATATTGTGTTCTAAAAAATAAATACAAAGTAGGAGTTTATTAAAACACTTGGGATGGCCAGGGAATCTTTTTCTGGCAAATGTATTATGATGTAATATATGCAGTTTTTTAGGCCTATGACATATTTTGAACTTTTGTTCTCTTTTTCTTCCCCCATCCCAGGAAGGCCAGTCAGATATTTTGTACACATTTTGGACTGCAGTAACTCAGACTCTTTCCTCTCAATTTCAGATGGCAACAGACTGTAAGTGTTGTCTTTAACATGTGTGATTTGTGATGTCTTTGAGAGTTAGTCTGAAAATATGTAAATTCAATAAACCATTGCTTGTTATTTCCAGCTATCCGATCTGCAGCTGTGGTTTTTCCTGTTACTCCTCATACATATATTTCCATTCCCCAGACTTTTATTGTGCATTCAGGAAAATATGTACTTTGCTTTATTTAATATTCATCATCCAATATAAAAATATCCCTTTTTTGGCAGTGGCATGGTGGAGGGGAGAAATTTGTGGAATAATGGATTATACTTCCAGAAGCCAAAAGTGAATAGGTCAGCCAAAACCATAAACATTAACCTGATTAAAAGAGCAGTTATTTTCTTATTGTGCTCTTGGGTGCTGAGCAATCTTGAAAACCTGGCCACTTGCACCTAAAGCAAAGCTGAGCTTTTTTTGAAAATCTTGGTGCGGGATTCTGAAAACACAAAATATGCTGTACAAATGTCATGCTAAGTGGAGGAAGAGTCATAAACATTAGACAGCACTATTGCCAGTAAATAGCGGTGCAGCATGCAACTGGCTGAATTGTCAAAGTTAAATACTGGGGATGCATTCACAAAAATACCCTTTACATTCATGTGAAGCTCGCAAATCCCTAATCTTAGTACATATGAATGAGGTGCAACATGCATATGCTTATATCTCTGTGGGCTCAGTCATTATGATGTCCCTTTAAAAATTTGGGCTACAATAGCAGCATTATTAATTTGAGGAAGTAGCTGCTTGGTTTCTGTTCAGGAGTTGCTAAGTAACTAGATGATTCCAGAAGGAAATTTCTTCAACTATATTAAAAACATATTTGTTTTATAGATTGTCTTATGTGTTACCTATAAGAGAGGTACCTAGGTTCATACGATCCAGCAAATATAGGAGTCTTATGTGCTTAAACTTAAGCATGTGCATAAGTGTTTGCAGGATAGGGCCTAAGACTGTATCACGGTGACAGCGATAGGCACAATTTTTATTTCAACATTGAGGTAACTTTTCTGTCCTGTTAGCAATTTAGTACACAGTTATTAATCAAAACACCACTGTTTTGCTTCTTATACTTGTTAGAGTTATTTTTAAATAAAAGTTTGGTGAAAGCAGGATGTTTATGCTGCAAATGCTGTTTTGTTTTTTTCAGTATATGTGAGTTTTCAGGTAATAATGCATGCAGTGTGTAGTCAGTTTTGGTTTTTTTAAATATTTTTGTTTACAGAAAGCTGCATATTTAACATTGAAATGTGCAAAGAACTCCAAAAGTCTGGAATATTTTTTTTAAACTAAAGGCAGAAGCACTTTTCACCAAAGTGTTTTAAAAAGAAAGACTAGCTTTTAAAGTAGCATGGTACTAGTGAAATAAAAAGGGACAGCAAAAAACCCATACATTTTTACGGGAAACCAAGGCCAAACAAATGTCTTGACTTCTGTCCCCAGGGCTAGGAGACGTTTAGTATTTAATATTCAGCAATGTTTTTTGACTTTGTATATGTAGAGTAGGGCCTAGATCTTGTTTCCACTGACATAAATCATAAAACTCACGTTTGCGTCAGTGGGAGCAAGACTGGGCCATTAGGCGTAGAGAAGAAAATAAATGTGTGACAAAGTGTAAACAATAAAAGAATAACAGTCCAGCACCTATTTTTGTGCTATGGGGAAGAAACTATTACAGACATCAGCTCACCACAATGAAATATCTAATTACTATGGAAATAAAAAATACGGACCTTACAATGGTCAAAATGAAAAAATGCATATGAGTAAAAAAAATGGTTCAGATGGTGAAGTGTAAAGGTGTGAATGGATGAACTGAAGCATATGTTCAGACCCTGAAGGCCACCATATTAAAGGGCCAATTTTCTACTCACCTAAAACATTCTGGTGGAATCCCTAAAGTCAGGTGGTGTCAGAGCACAGATATTGTCAACCTTTTTTAAACTCTTCTAAATTTGTTTCGCTTTCCACTTTTTGTGGCATGCTTTCCGGGGCTGAAAATAACACTGCTTTCTCAGCTCGTTTTATCGTTCTTTATTTGACAAACGTGCAGTTGTTTTTTAATCTTCTTTTTAAAAAAAGTAGTATGTGTAAAAGCAGAACACTTCAGCTATTTAAATCTGAAGGGCTTCTCCCACCAGCTTGTAACAATAACTTTAAGGTTTGTTAAAGATTTGGGCCTACTTCAAATTATCTGTGTCCCTTTAAAAATGTGCTTTGAAAAAGAAACAAAACTATAGATTTTTCTGTTGCAAAACTAACGTTGAAAAATGCTTTAGATATATGCAACCCAGCACACTGTTGTGCTTAATAAATAGTAACAGTAATAAAATAATAATTTGGTCATGAAATGCTGGATAACATAGCTGGGATGGTTATTGTACAAGGCAAGGTTTTTATGTTCAGCGTTCAGATTGTGGAGGGATGCATTACAGTGTTTTAGACACTTATATTTGTACTGTGATAGATTTTACAACAATGATATTAATTGTAGATATAGTAATACTTCAGTTTTATTGTATAGGAATGTACTGATTTAAGTGTTAAGATCCATGCTATTTATTTTTATCAAAGAGGCTACTTTGGAAAATCATAATAAATGCTGTTTATTGTTTTGTTTTACAGCCTCTGTATTTTTGAAGCAAGCTTTTGAAGGAGAATATCCTAAATTACTGAGACTTTATAATGACTTGTGGAAGCGCCTACAACAATATAGTCAAAATATTCAAAGAAATTTTAATTCAAGTGGAAATACAGATCTCTTTGCTGAACTGCAACAGATGGAAGAAGATACACATGACATTTTCATGCAAAAGAAACAGGATTATGAGTATGTTGAGCACAAACCGCTGTATCTGACGAGATAACTATACAAACCTAGAGCCATAGGTCTGGTCTGCATGGTGCAGCAAAACACACTGGAGGGGTGTGATTTGTAAAGTGTTCTAACATGTTGTGCTCTAACTGTCCCATGTAGACACTGCTGCCATGCTCAAAAAGGTGCCTGGTTTGTGCACATAAACTAGGCACCTTTCAGAGTGTGCCAGCCGGGCCTACTTGGGGCAGTTAGAGTGCAACACATTAGAGCATTTTACAAATCGCACTCCTCTCATTCACTTTGCCGACATCCATCCTGCAAGAAGGGAGTTTTTATAGACAAGAACTCAGGGTTTTTCAGCTTCACAAAGCAGGAAGTCCCCTGCAGGAGAGCTAGAATTTTAAGGACTTTTTCAGCAGTCTTTCTATCAACTGGTGTGTGTGTGTGTGTGTGTGTGTGTGTGTAAAATAAAATGAAGACACATTAAGTTTCATGTTTTTGATCTGTGTCATTTTTGTCAGATTAAGCAATTAACTACATTGGATTGTCCTGTCATTCACAATTCTGCCAAAAGTACTTGTAGCTAGTTTTGTCTTTACCTCTGTGTATAGCTGTAGACAGAGCAAACAGGAATGATTAAAAGTCGCCATTTGCCTATCTGGTGTGAATGCAATTACTATAGTGTCTTTCTGTATTTTGTGGTACCACAATCACTACAGAGTGGCAGATACTCAATTCCTAATGATTCTCACCATATCTGTTTTACATCCTAGAATGTACATGATTTACATGTTAAATATGGAGACGATTAGGTTTGACACTGGTGAATAAATCTATTCTGACTTATGAGCAATAGGATAAATATGTAGGATAAGATTTTTAAAAGTGCTGTGCATGGGCTTACCTATACTCCGATTGAAGTAACGGGAGTTTTACCGTTGACTTCAGTGAAAGCAAGTAAGGTCAGTGCTAAGTCCCTTGGAAAATCCCACCCGGCACATTGATCCTATTGTTCCTAAGTATAAAAGTCATAATTCCACTGGTAGAGTTTACATAGTAGCTACTATTGAATCATTTTCACTAATAGGAATTGTAATGATGGAATTATATTAAATGTAGTTTTAAAATTTAATATTGAAGCCAGCACAAAAATGGTCCTTTCCCCTGGTGTTTTATACAGGTAGCTCCATGTCAGAGGAGAATTTTTTAGCATGCTCTGGGTGGGGCTCAGGCCATCTGTTATGAGATATGTGACGTCAGGAAAAGGCTCTGATCCCACTTCTGGAACACTTTCCTCATGTTTTTAATGTTGCATATCTCAAGAATAACTTGGTTTAGGGACGCCAAAGTTGTTTCATACAATAGGCCTCATGGGGAGCTAGTGCACAGAGCTGTGTTGAACTATGTAGGGACGCTAACTGAACAGTTATTTACTTCAAGGGAAAAAGTATCTTCTGGGTGCTATATATAGCTCTCTGGCTCCTGCAGAGTTTATAAGCTCTAGAGGAGTCCCAGCCTCAACTTGCTACTATATATTTCAACTTTAGAAAATGATAATGCTGTTTTATGCCCACAGTTCAGAAAAAGCCTTGAAAGACTCATTGCAACCTTATGAAGCTGCTTATTTGTCAAAGTCATTATCTCGACTCTTTGACCCCATCAACCTTGTATTTCCCCCTGGGGGTCGGAATCCTCCTTCCACTGATGAACTGGACAGCATCATTAAAACTATAGCAAGGTAAGTGGTTATAATATATTGCAACATGTAATCTGCACCATGTCTTTTTATTTTCTATATTAAAATTGTGGAAATGAAACTTCATTAACAGTAAATGTTTGATTTCCCCTTTAATTATAGAAGTTATTAGCACTGAAATTAAATCAGGGTTCAACTGTTGATTCTTGTTGTGCAGGAGTAATTCTGAAATATTCATATGTGGTCTGCTGTCTGCAAGCATGCACATAAGTAATTTTACTCACATGATTGTGCTTAAAATCCAGTAAGAGCAATTTTAAATCTAGTGTAAATGTGTTACAACTAAATTATTCTGAATATACGAAAGGGAAGATATTTGCTTGGCTATAAACTAAATCTCTGATTAAAACAATCTGTTGCATAAAGAATGAAATAACAAGAATAGTAAATGAAGAGGAATATCCCAGTTAGAAAAAGTAAACAGAAATGTTTAAATCACAAATGGAACATTTTCATTAATCCCTGATTTCAGTGTTTTAGTCTATTTAGCAAGGACTGGTCCAAACAGTCCAAATAGGTAGCATTCTATGTAATTTACTGGATGTGTTAATATTGTGAAAAATGCTGAACTCTTACAGCTCTTGTTGTCTTCAGTCGGAATTACAAGGGCTCATCTCATTTTAGGATTTGGACGAGTGATAATCAGACTTCAGGAGCCAAATTAGCAATCAACATTACCCAAAAGAGCCACAGTAAATCACACAGTGTTTTAAATTAATGTGGTGCAGAGAGCCACAGGAAACACATTAAAGAGCCACTTGCGGCTCCCGAGCCTCTGACTCAGTATCGCTGGTTTGGACTGTATTGCACATATTTATGGCCCTGATGCCCCATCTTGCAGAGGAAGTAGGATAACTTCACAAAGGACAGGAAAACTGAGTTGTCTAGCTAGTGAAGTTTAGGGCCCTGTGAAGTTCTCTAGGGGTGAGGCTTCCCAATTCTGTGAATCTTCACATCTCCCTCAATGCTTGGAGGATTACCTCTGGCAACATGACCCATAGGGGGATAATGCTGCTTGGATAGCTATCTCTATCCTTGCCCTCAAATTTCTGCAGAGCTCCTTGTAGATGGAACCCTAGCAGATGGATTTCTGTGGGATTCCGGGAGGGTGAGGGAAATAGTGCTGAGGAGTCAGCGCTCATCCTCCTACAGGGATTCCCCAGGAAGTGATTTGGACCATAATTTCTTGTTGTTTTCTTCAGTTTGTTGTCTTCCATCTATTTTGGGGTCCCTTGTACTGCATATTGTGCTTACAGTAAAGCCTATTAGTTGTGACAAACAAAGACCGCACCTTGGAATCTCTGCATAGTTTACTCTCAGCCTCATCTGTGAATGGCTCTGTGCTTGCCTCTACCAAATTCTGCTTGCCAAGTAATGCATTGAAGTCAATATTTTGAACCCAATGGGAATAGTATCATTTTAGCATACATGCTGCAGTACCAAATTTACTCACTGTGAGTTCTTTCTTAGCATCAGAATGGGAAGTGATACACTCTGCTCATAAAATTCCTGAATAGACTTGTTAAACTGTAAATTGACCCATTGTGCCTCATAGAGTTTTGATTGTATATACTATTCTCCTCCAATTGACATGCCATGTTACTAGTTATTAATAGTTCATTTGTTACAATCTGGACTATGTAGTTTTAATTAGGATCTATCTCCTTTTTTTCTAGCGAGTTAAATGTGGCTGCTGTGGACTCAAACCTCAGTTTAGCTGTTTCAAAAAACGTGGCAAAGACCATACAACTATATGGTGTAAAATCTGAGCAGCTTGTAAGTAATTTTTCAATTTCTAAATAATGTTTTTAAAGATACAGTGTTTTCTTTTTGTCACAGATTTATTAAAATAACGGCACTGGAATCCTAGTACATAAAACTATTGAATGCACTTTCCATTGTATTGAATGCATTTTGAGTTAAATTCTGCTCTTGGTTACACCCATGCAGACCCATCGACTGCAGTGGGATTTGTGTGTATGTAAGTCAAAGCAGAACTTGCCCTGTTGACTATAAACTGAAATGTCAGGATTTTAGTTGTTTTGCAGTGGAATTAAAATTTAGTGTAATGGCTACTAACACTTGATGGTCTGTCTGTTAAATAATACCTCTTATTTGTTGTATTTAAATCCTAGTACATGCAAATAAAATTTTCAGTTTGGGACCCTTATTTGGATCAAAATTCAGGCATATTTTTCACAAGTGTGCATTTAAATGGTGCTCAGTTTTGAGCTTGGTTATTGTCATGTCACACATTCCTGACTATTTGCCATGCACTGCTACCTAGTGTGAAATTGGACAGCAGTAGAGCAGCAAGAAACCAACATTTGGAAGTATAGTGATTGGAATTGTAAGAGGAACCATTTTGGTTTTTTAAATATATGTACAATTTTCCCATGAGTTCTGATGTCAGTGTTTTCATACTTTTCTTGCAAACATCAGTTTAAATTTTAAAAAACCTTCTTCCTGCAATAGGAAAACTTTTTATACACAATGTAAGTGGCTGTTTTGGTTACTTACATGTGTTAGTGAGGTATTTTCTTAAACAGCTCTAGTTCTGTAGGCAGATCAGATTTCACTGAAATTCAAGTACTGCACTGTAATGTTCATTCAGTGACAGAAACTTGATAGTGGATGCCTGCTGATACAGTTACACAGCAATTTACTATAAAATACCTCTGCTATTAGGGTTCTGTTTACCTTTCAGACATGTACCATACTTGAATGGGCTGTAAAAAATTGAAAAGCATTGGTAAATATTTTGGTTGCCAAGTGACCATTTCTACTGAATGCTTTACATCAGGGTTTTCCAAAATGTGGGCTGGGCAACCTCAAGGAGACTGAAGGGTATGGTAGGGGATTGGTCCATGGCAGGTCATGCAGAAAAGCTAACATTTTGAAAATAATTAATACACTTAAATGATTTTTTAAATTGATACACAACATAAAGCCCTATAATGGGGCCTCCCTTTAGAGCCACTATGTTCTGATTTTATAACTCCAGCTAGACTGTCAGTGCATATTAGTGCAAGAAGTTGGTTGCTATAGCCTTTGAAAATAAAACAGCAAACTTGTACCTCTGTATGTGTGCTTGGATTTACCTGTTACAATACAGCACAAGCCACATTAACAATATCACTTACTTTGTACAACACAAAATACCTGTGCCCACATGTCAATGATCTGGACACCAGACATGTCAGCTGCAAATGGGCACCGTGCCTCCCATGAGAATATTTCACGCTACCCAGTCTTTGTTGGAGCTCATTTCTGGCTGAGTTATTCAGAAAGATGGATCATTTCGTGCCTAGTAAAGCAGCATGTTGTTCCAAAGACAACTCAAAAAGGAAAAAAAGAAAATGCAAAAGTATGATAATGTGTGGCTTTACATCAATTGGTTTGAAACCACACTGTGTTCTGAAGTGCTAGGTGAGAGAGCATGAAGCCTTCAACTTTGTTGCTTTATTTAGCAACTGAGCATCCATCATGGGAAGATAAATCCGAGGAGTTTTGGGGGAACAAACTTGAAACCTTGAAAAATCAAGAGATCTGATTTACTCAAACTGGCAGTATGAGAGAATACTTATGTCCGTCGGGCCTATTTTCTAGTATTTCTACAAACCATGCAACACTGTAAATCGTATACTATACAACTACAGAAAAATCTTATTTTTGCCTACTCAGTATTCATATTATCAAAACTTCTAGGACCTGAAGCAGCTACCAGATGGCAAACAGTGCCTCTGTCAAATAACACTGATTCACTTCACACTAGAGTTATGGCTGAGAATGTCTGAAAGCAACAGATTTCCAAACCCAAGATAAACGACTACTTAGCATTTCAGCTTGATGAGTTAGCTGAGGTGCTGCACAGGTTCTAGTGTGTGTGAAGTATGATTCTGATGGTTCTATTGAAAAATTTCTCTCTTGCAAAGGTGCATTAGAACTAGAGCTGTTCAGAGGATGGAAATTCTGTTTTATAAAGGATTTTGAGATTTTGAAATATGGTTTAATTCCAAATTGAAACAAACCCCAAAAATGTCAAAGTTCTTCAAAAGAAAATTCAGTAAAAAAAATTGTTTTGGATTGATCATAACATTTTGTTTCAATTTTGAGTTGATTTTATGTTGTTATAGATATGAGAGAGAGCAGGTGGCCAGAACTGAATATCATATTCCTGGTGAAGGTGTTATGTTTTTCTGTCATTCTCTATACATTCTGATGTTTTGTTTGCTTTTTTTAACACAACTGCTGCTCACTGAGCAGAGTTTTTTAATTAAGATGCTCTCTCACTAGCAAATGTGAAAAATCAGGACGGGGGTGGGGGTTAAAAGGCACTTACATAAGACAAAGCCTTGAATATCCAGACTATATGAAATTGGGACATCTGGTCACCCTATTTCTCACTGATGCTCTGAGTTTGTACATTTAGTTTAGAAACTAGCAATGCATGTAGCTAATTCAGATTTTGGTGTATTTGTCAACACTGCATTTCATTTTCCATTGTGTTTCCCATTCACCTAGTGCTGTGACGTCTCTCTGAAGTTCCTAACTGTTCTTTTATTAGTAATAGTAGCAATATCTAATTTTGATTAATCTAAATAATTTTGTCTGCAGAAAATTTTTCCAGCATTCTGGTCATTCTTTTCTAGATCATTAATAAATATATGAAACAGTACCTAGCATGAATCTAGTATAGAACCTTTGAGCTCCCAGTGTTACCCTTTTGCCATGTTGAAAATTGACCCTTTTAGTCTTACTCTTAGTTTTCTGTTTCATAGCCAATTTCTAATCTATGACATCAGATGGCTCCTTAATTTCCTTAATAGCCTCTTGTGAAGGACTTTGCAAAAGACTGTTTGAAAGACTAAATAAATTGTCAACTGGTTTGCCTTTATTAACTATTACATTGGCATGCTATTAAATTAGAAAGGCATGTTTTTTTCTTTATAGAGGCCATGCTGGCTTCTCTTATTCTCTGTGATGGGAGTGTCCAACTTAAGGCCTGCGGGCTGTATATGGCCCACCAGAGCATTTCAGAAGGCCTGTGACCTGCTTCAACACAGTATATTAACGGCCATTTCATTAGCATTTTGTTGTCATGTTTATATCATTTTAGTTTACACACATGTGTAAACAGACATTATTGTACATAGAAACAGCTTAGCTAAATACATACAAAACAAGCTGAACTTAAAATATAAATCAATTCAGGTGACTTTAAATCTTATTAAAATATGTAGAATCTGTTTGGCCCACACGAGGTTGTGCTTAGATTTATGTGGCCTTCCTGTGTAATAAGGTTGGACACCACTGCTCTATCGTGTCCTTTGCGAAGCAATTAAAGGAGTGAACTTCACTAAATTCTTGACTCTTTGCTTTGTTCTGTGTTGACATGGGTTTCCTTCACTAGCAATTCCTTGTGAGGTGTCTCACATGAGATAAAGAACTAACTTGACTCTGAATTAAGAGCAGAAGTACAGATTTGTAGAGTGATCATCCTTCTTCACTTGCTAATACCTTTGATAATTCATGTTGGGCGGCTCACTTAGTCAGCCTGGCTGACATCATTGGTTTCCAAAAAGATCTGAACTCTTCTCTCCAGAGCTGGAAATAGGAATTTTCTGTCTGCGCACGATAGAGTAGGAAAGTAAATCAGAAAAGTTGGTAGTTGTATTTCCTGAGCACAGAGAGGAAACTTTTAGTCATTTCCTGTTGTTTTAGACTTCACGGAACTGAGGAGCTGGTTGGCAACCATCAGGGACTCATAAATCTGTATCACAGGGAATTTCAGAACCACCTATGAAATTACTTCTTGCAGACCCACAGAAGGGAAAGAGGTGGCTCACCAACCTCTTCATAAGATGCCATAGAGCTGGTAGCAATAACTGCGCTTTTCTAAGACACAGTGACAGGCCTTTCCAGCGACATGTCCCGGTCATGACTTTCCCTAGCCAGGAGCTTAACTTTTGGCTATCTCTGAAGGTGGAGGCAAACCCAGCTTTAGGAGCAGAAGCCTTGAAAGTTCTCATCCCTCTTTGTCCTTAAATCTCTGCAAGTCAGGTTTCTCTTTGCTGCTTGTGAAAAAATGAAAGTGTCACAATCACCTGCTGATTGAAGCTGAAGCAAAAGTGTATTTTTCCAGTTCAACCTCCCGGGGCGCAATTTTCACCAACAAGTCGGCTCATCTACTGCACTGAATTTTGAATGTATTTAAAATGTTGCAATTCCTTTATAATTAAAGTTCCTTTTTGGTAACATAATTATGTGTTTTGGTCTGATTGCAGTTAGACATGTTTCTTGTGTTCATGGTTCGAACTAGAGGTCTTGGGAAGAGAGGGTGGTGAAACATTTGTCCCTGAAAAGGCCAAAAGCTTGTACGTTTTGGAAACCCTGGTCTAAATTCATACCATTGTCAGTATACATGTTAGATAATGCAGAAAAATAAATTCCAAGATCCAAAGATTTTTAGAGAAATTAGATTGAAAAGACCTGTTGGGTTATCTTGTCTGTCCCCTTCCCAGTGCAGGATTATTGCCTAGAGTATTTTTAGATTTTTTTTCTTCATTCTTCCTTCATTTTGAGTGATGATTTCAGTTAGCTCACAGTTTGTGAGTGGTAATGTAAGTACTGTATGTTCTTTTACTTTGGTGCTATTTCTGTTCAGCTGTGCATGTGGGTGGATTAAAATACACTAACACACCCACCCTTTGCACATAGATAAAATGTGTTGTACTGTGAGCATGAAAGTTCAGTTGCTGAGAGAAGATGTGGTT